CTGTTAAACAAGAGCTATTAGCCATAGTGGCAGCTCTAACACACTTCCGAGATTACTTATACGGAACAGCATTTACGCTGATGTGTGATCAGAAATCTCTTCAATATATGAAAGAGATGAAACCCGGCTCACAATTACTGAGTCGCTGGCATGATACAATATCAAAGTTTCATTTTGATATAAAACGTCTGCCAGGAATACATAACCATTTACCGGATATGTTATCACGCTTCGTACCGGACTTTAATAAATCCGTACGTGAGTTACTAGCCACTGACTGGAAATGTAATCCCAGGTGGTTTGAACTGGCTCAAAAGATATATGGGCCACATACCATAGATATGTTTGCTGCACATCATAATGCACAACTATCGAATTACAGGACCTTTAAATCATCCTATGGGAGACGACTTTCAAATAGACCTCTCTCAACATAATGCGTGGGCTAATCCACCATGGCAGTTAATTGCCCAGCTATTAAATTATATACAATGCGAGCCAATATATTTAGATAGGGAAGTAGATACTTTCCTATATCAGGGTACCCGAGCCGTCCAGAAGACGCCCTGGAGACATACTATAATATGTCGTATAGGTCTCATTGGAACAACCAAATGGACCCCTTCTGAGACTTTCCTTAACAAGGTCAAAGAATCAAAGATTCCACTCTCTACCCAATTGAACGTTAAGCAGTTCAAAGGCAACACAGCATTTGAAGTCTGTACACAAGAAATACAATCTACTAATGACACTGTTAAGAAGCGTCAGTCTCTAGCTAGGACTCTGTTTAATAACATAGAGTCTAAGCCCGAGGTCTTTCATACCCTATTTTTAAAGGGATTAATGAAAGACAATCCTGAAGCGTATACACATATAATGCGACTATTTAATAAGTCAGGTGTATCTAACGCACATGAGCGCGATTATGACGCTCATACAAAAGAAGGACAGGAGTCTGAAAACACTACAGACTTAGAGACCACGCAAGTGGATTCTCAACACTCTATCTTTATTCTGGAGGAGCAGAATGATAAAAACATTCTTGCTTGGCTGAAGCAAAATCATAAACTGAAGCACCAGAACGTAGTAGAAGCACTTAAAGATGCTAAGCGACATGGGATCGCGAACCCTAAGCTGGTAACTTTAGTTGACAGAGTATATCAGTCATGCACAGACTGTGATCTTAATTAGATCAAGCGCTATGGTTTCGCACCGCTTAAGAGTGTGACTGAAGATGTTCCATGGCGCAGGGTCATCATTGATCTGGTTGACCTGCCCATGTCCGAGCACACAGGCGACCGTTACGTATGCCACTTCTTTGATGTGGCGTCACGGTTTAACTTGCTCTATTCATTAAAGGATAAGAATACGCAGACCGTGGCAGAATTATGTTGCCAAGTCTTTGTTGACCACGGGTGGCCGGGTATTATGTGCACTGATAACGGTAGTGAGTTCTGCAATGACGTTATGGTATCGCTAGTACTCGTATCAGGCATATGCCATAAGAGATGTGTGGCATATGAATTCTAAGGCATTAGTATCGCCTTAATAGACCAAATCTTACAGCAAGTACGTTAATAAGAGTGCAAGAACTTCTAAGTGTGGACGATAACTTACAAGTGTGAAAACTAAGAAGTTTAAAAAGTTCTAAGTTGTATCGTGCAGTTTGTTGGCGAACGGCCGCGCAGGCTCGGAAGAAGAGTAGGTTGATGTATGATTGGTGCTTTGCGAACCGAAGTGCGGGGCAATATGAGCTGGAGGTTGGTAGATGACGATATATGTTGAATGGACTTGTAGGCTCGAAATTAAGAAGATACACGATTTGATTGGCGGCAGTATTCTCAAGGAAATCCTTCGGAGATAGTATAATTATGTAGTTTAGTTTATTCAAGAAGTTCATTCTGCTAAGGTAGACGTTTATTCAACAATCGATTAAATAAAACTAGGTTCACCGTTACATTGTGTTTTGAGTCGATCTAAGAATACAATGTTTGTTTATTTAAGTAAAAAGTTATATTTTTAAAATATTAATGATAAATTTACCACATTGAAAGTCAGTGAGAACGAAAGAATGGCTCAGGGAGTCAGGACTCGGCAGTTAGCTCATGACAGCCCCAAACCTCATTCGATACGATATTTTTAAAAACGTATACATGTTGGAGAATGAACTTAACCTATTTATAATATCAAGTGGACTATATTGTATAAAATATGTAATTTACTGCACCTCAGCACCTGAACATGACACCTAAATAAACATACAGGACCAAACCGTTATAAATGACGACTATAAACGTAAATATGAAGTATTGATTTTATATAATACGTCAAATCGTAAAACGTAATGAATCAGTTATCAGCTGTGATTTTTGATCAGCATGACTCATATTGGTCAGCTAATCTCATTGGTGTCTACATACTTTTTCTGTTTTATCATTGGCTTACTAGTTGAGTACACCACAGCAAATATGAATTAACTCGAGTAGTCGGAGTTGCACTGTAGCCTATGTAGGTCTGTAAGTATTTAGTTAACTTGTGTATAAGTAGGACTCAGTGATATATCTATGACCAATGTACATATGTACGACTAGAGTTTTACATGTTGAGATATGGTTGTACATATGAACAGTAATACATGGTGTTACTTCAAGCTAAAATATATAAAGGGTGAGTGATCGATTTCCAGGCTCATTCAGTTTCTCTCTCGGGTTCTATTTGGCGGAAGGAAATTGATAGTATATAAGCACTCAACGTATATAGGACAATAATAATAAAACCGAAAAAACGATGAATAGTCACTTGCAAAAGGTTGAATTAATGGATGAAACCGAGGATGCACCGAAGCATGAAGACGATATACGGAAGTTACAAGACGATGTACTAAAAGATCGAGAGGATAGCCTGAACGGTCACGAGGATTTACTGAGTGATCACGAGGATATACTGAATGGTCTAGATGATGTGCAGACATATGTGAAGCAAATTGCTTGGCCCCAATACAGAATAAAACACAAGCACGGTGCCACTCAAATGCGTCTTTGTAAACGTAATGAAGATCTTGTTAACGCTTCAAGCAATGCGTGTACGTCGGTGGTATTTCGTAGGGCGAAAGTATGGAATGTGCGTTGGTTCAATGCAGATGAGAATACCTACTATAATATGCCGTTTACATATGTAAAGCGAGGTAGTTCCCGCAATCCACCATTATTTATCGGAATGCATGGAGGGGGCAATTGCCCAGAGTACGCTAATCAGAGACAGTTTGTCAACCACAAGCATCTGTACTCCAATATAGTCGATGGCATTTATTTAGTTCCTCGTGCCCCTACGAACTCCTGGAACATGTGGTTTCGACGAGAAGTGCGTCCCCTTTTTGATGCCATTATTTGTAATATGATTGTTAATGAAAACGTGGATAGTAACCGTGTGTATCTGTTCGGTTATTCGGCTGGTGGGGATGGTGCGTTTCAAATGGTTCCTTTGATGGCTGATCGTCTGGCAGCAGGAGCGGCTATGGCTGGTCACCCTAACGATGCCAACTTTACTAACCTGTGCAACACGCCCTTTGCGAACTATTGCGGACAGTCTGACAACGCGTACCACCGCAACACGGCAAATGTTAAAGTGGGAGAACGACTGTGTGCAATGCAGAGAGACCATCGGAACGAAGGCCTGTATGAGAACGTGCTCAGCGTACAGTACCCAACTGGCCACTGGATGGACAAAAGGGACGAGGCCGCGATAGATTGGATGGCGTCTAGCATACGAAACCCTAAACCCAAAAGGATTAGATGGCGGCTGACACATGGAGAGGGTGCGACAGAGACTCGGTTTTTTTGGTTACTGTTTCGCTGTGCTTGTGGCATGTCTAATAATAGACCACCAACCCTCGTGGAGGGTCACGCGGATAGGCAAACCATTCATGTTTACTTTTCCGGTCATAGCTACCGTGCTGGCGATTCCATTGTGTTGCTATTGAGTGACGGGATGGGGTGGGATCACACCAAGCCACTCACGGTGTGCCTTGTCAATCGTGATGATGCGTCGACGCAGGAACTCGAAGTTGCTGAGCGTAAACTGCGCAAATCTGTGGTGCGGAAGTCGCTGGATTTGTGGGGCGATCCCAATATGGTCTATGCCACTGAAGTGGAGGTCGATCTGAAACACCTATTCGAATTGAGTGTGCAGACGACAAATAGTAACGTTGGAAATTCTGAGAGTTAGCGTATATGAGGATTAGCTATACAAGGAGATAAGAGTACCTATATAAGGAGTTGGCGTATATGAATCGTACCTATATAAGGAGTTAGCGTATATGAATAGCACCTATGTAAGGTGATAGTGTATATAAATAATGTGTATACAAGGAGTGTTTGACCCTTGTATGTAGTTCTTTGTGCGGCAGAGTTACCAGCAATGATTATCATGAGGGATTTGAGTTTGTTGTGCTGGCAACAGCATGGTTTCGCAGAAGTTTAATGCGAAAAAAAGTATATAAAAGCAACATTTCCAATCGACAGCACCGGATGATTTGTATAGGTCGCATCAATCGACAACATATTTGATCAGTACCAATCGACAATGTATAATATTATTAATAAAAAATTACCATGCATTTGCATAGGTCTGTAAATATCCCCCAACAAAGCCTCTCTGCATGGCACAAACGAGTGCCGCACAATCTCTGCGAATTTAATTCAATTGTTTGCTTGGTTCATCACACACAGTCACACACAGTCTATCTACGAGTTTAATTCAATTGTTTGCTTGTTTTGTGCTTAAGGCGTCAATATAACTCATATCATGCATGTTCGTGTACCCTGTGTGTCGCAGACTCTCCTCGGCATAAGCAAATCTCGCAGAACTACTGCATTTCACCCACGCATGCCGTTCACATAACCACTACACTACATACACCCACACACGCGTCAAGTGCCGTGTGGGGCATATGGTACAGCTGAAGCCAGCTGCAATGTCTTTCCTCTCGCTGACACTGTCGTAATAAAACAGGCCGAAGCTTAAGTCACCCCTACTGACTTTGCCCATACTGTCACTGACGGTATTGGCCAGACTACCCTCCCCCCGGGCCCCATCCCCCCCCCCACCCCAACCATTGCTTTTCTACGCCTTAAAATACTGCATTGCTGCACCCCAGAACACTTGTACCGCTACCGTCCATACGACTACCCATACTATCGCTCAGACTGCCGGAGATGTGCGTGTGGTCTGCCTGTGACACGGGTCTGTCCTGCGCGCCGCCAATTAACCTGGCCACTCAATTAGGCACATGGACGGGTGCGGGTGTGCGTGTCTGTGGAGATGCATTGTCAGCTGAGCGTGTGCCTGTGTGTGCGTGGGAGGGCAGGTGTGTGTCTATAAACACAATAGGTTCATCGTCGTTGCTAGGCAACGCGTCACTGTCTCGCGCGCTGTACACTCTGCTGCCGTACGGCGAACTAGGTGAACTGCCGATCTGAGAGTATATCTGAGTCGATCTGTACGGTGTGTGTATACGTGTATGTATTAGAGTGTGTGAGGGCAGGAGTGAGCATGTATTGTAGACGTGTTTGGTATAGTACGTATCCTCTCGGTCAGCCCTGTACTGGTGTTTAGAAGGCCCATATCCCGCGCACCAATCAGAAAGCACCATTAAAGTGAACTACAATATGAGCGTACAATTGTCTATGAAATATGTCATCACAGTTGAAAGTAAAGCCACACCCACGTTTACTATGCATAACAAACTACGCAATTTTTTTTTACAACGGCCACACAGATATCTAGTATGCATTTAAACGCAAACCACCCAGGGTGCCACAACATCACCCCCACAGCATATATTAACATAACCTACACATCATACCACTACATTAGCCACACAGCTTACCACTACATAAGCCACACAGCATATATCAACATAACCCACACATCATACCACTACACAGCCCACACATCATAACACTACACAGCCCACACAACACACAGAATACATTATCCACCACACACTTACTTCAACTTGCTACCAGCACAGTTGTCGTGTCTGGCTGCCCTGCCGATGCTTCGTAGTGACGACCGGGACGACCCTAGCCCAGGCACTTGCGTATACTCAGACAGACTGACAGGTCGACTTTAGGTCGGCTCAGACACGGCGCTATTCACACTGTCTGTGTTCATCCCAGGCACTTGCGTATACTCAGACAGACAGACAGATCGACTTAAAACCGGCTCAGACATGGCACTGTGCGCGCTCTCGGCGTGTGTACGTCCACGTATGCGTAAGGGGGAGGGTGTGCGTGTGTGTGCAGATGCGTGTTCGTGTTCGTGTGCGTGTGCGTGTGCGTGTGCGTGTGTGTGTGCGTAGGCGTATGCGTGCGCATGGGCGTAGAGGGGCGAGTCAGAATCAAACGATTCCGAAGACCACGACAGCGTGTCGCATACGCTGTGGTTCACCACTGCTCCGTTGGCGTCATCTGATTGGCCGTGCTGACGCGTGATGTCATCGTGCACGTCGATGTTGACGTAACAACTGGAGTTATACAGATGATCGTCCCTGCGCATGTGTGTGTGGTGTCATGGCAATAGAGAATGTCAGATATAAGACGGTCAGATGATAAGGAATGTCAGATATGTCAGACATGTCAGATATACGATACACATATAATGGGGATGCTATGTCAGATACTTAAGATATAAGGCACTCAGACACTAGGGCACGTTAGAGATAAGACAGCCATACAATAGCAAATGTCAGACATGTCAGATATATTTATATATAATGTCAGATATATATGACCGTCATACAATAGAGAATGTCACATATGTCAGATACATTTATATATAATGTCAGATATATATGGGCGTGTGTGCGAGTGAACCCAAGGTTCTATAGTCACCATCGGCGGTAAGCATTTCTATCTGCAGAGCATCTTTTCCCATCTATCTATGACATTTGAATACTTTTTAAACCACACTATCGCAATGAATATAAACCTCTCTCATCTATCTAACTCCCTATCTATCGCTCGGTCTGTGATATCTGGAATCTCCTTATTGACAGACCCGATGTGTGCGTTCTTACTTTGTTATGAGCACAAACTGTGTTCTCACGCACACACGCAGGCACAGAGCCGTCTGTCTAGGAACAGGATAAGCTACATCACACAAAAGTGTGCAAGGTATGTGTGGTTGTGAGGCCTATTGCTGTGGGTGGTACTATTAATAGAAGGCGATCGGGAGTTCAAGATTTGAAGTTAAGGTTTAGGGGTTTGAAGACGATGGGAGTCACATACCCTGTGGTGGATTCATGCGATGGTTTCTTGCGCAGTCGAGCAGCGCCGCTGTTGGGGCGCACTTGGTTTAACATCTCCGCAGACGATTCGTAGGCACTATGACCTCTATAGGAATTCGGGAGTTAGGGAAGGACAGGCCAATGAGTAAGGGTAGAGTGCACGGGAGTCAGATATCATACTATATATGATATATCATACTCAACTAGCGTACTCAAATATCATACCTTATATCATACTCAACTAGCTTACTTAAATTTCATATTGTACTCAAACATCACACCATATATCATACTCAAACAACAGAGTCAAATATCCATATATCATACTCAAATAACATAGTCAAATATCATATTATACTCAAATATCATACCATATATCATACTCAAATAACAGAGTCAAATATCGTATTATACGCAAAAATCGTACCATATGTCATTCTCAATTAGTTTACTCAAATATCATACTTAGTTAGCCTACTCAAATACCATACTCAATTATTATGCCGTATATCATACTCAGTTAGCTTACTTAAATATCATATTATACTCAAATATCATATTGTACTCAAATATCATACCTAAATTTCGTACTTAAACGTCATACTCAAATGTCATACTAAAAAAAATCCTAGCATACTTGAATATCATACCTAAATTTCGTACTTGTATATCAAACTCGAATATCATATTCAAATACCCTACATACTCGAATATACTCAATTATCATAGCTAAACTTAGTAATCTGAAATATCATACTAAAAAATAATACTCTTTTATGTCATATCATACTCAAATATTATACCTAAACATCGTAATTATCATACCCAAATATCAACTCAAATATCGTATCATTCAAATATGATACCTAAACTTCATACTCAAATATCATACTCATATACCGTACTCATCGTACCTAAATATCTCTGTTATAACATTCAAATGTCAGACGTGACAAACAGTTACATAGTTCAAATGGCAAACCCATGACTAACATATATACCAGGTGATGTACAGAAACAATAGCTTTTGGTTTGCACCACATACCTTCCAGAACCTCCAATCCTCTGGAGCAAAGGCGATCCCAGAATGGCTTTAGCGGGATCCTTCGAGTACAACGCATTGACGGTAGGTAGATCTAGAGCAAGCACTTCCCGATTGTAGATCTCACTGACTTCAAAGGCCAATTCGGTGAACTGAGACGAAAATGAAAACGTTTTTATATATTATATATATATATACATATA